ACTTGGATGCTTAGTAGTTGCAAAACTGGCAGAAATCCTGAGAATCTGTCACTTATTGGTTTTTATTCTCCTAGCTTCTAATTTTGCACAAAATTTGGAAATTGCTTTTGAAGCAGCTGACCTGCATAAAAATGTAAGTGAAAATAGTAAATATGACAGAATTCTTCTACTCTTTCTCTAAAATGCAAAATTTATTTGGAAAGACTGAAAAAAGGGAGCATTAATTAACTTTCTATACTCGAGAGATTCTGCTTAAGTCCTTCAGCAGAATTGAGACAATTATGGAGTTATTTCAAACAACAGAAAAGAGCACATGAAAATAGGAAAAAGAAGGGAGAACTCATCAGACGTGTGCTAAAAAGGAGTGTGTGTCTGCTCTGCACAGCGCAGTGGCTACAGCATAGCCACATCCAATTCCTTTCTAGTTGTTCCACTTAGCTGTTCTGGGTGCAACCAGACTAGCAAAAATGCTGAGATATCTCATTTCAAGCATTACAGACTTTAATTTTTGAAAAAGCTGAAAAAGGTTGGGTGCGTGTGCCACCAGTACTGTTGGGCCCAGATGTAAAAAGCTCAGTGGAAAATTAGAAATGCATTCTTATTCTGTCTTTCATTTAGGTAATACAAAGTCTCCCTAATTGTTTCTGTGGCACTTAATTTGTGGTGGAGTAGGACTGTAAGAGTGTTATCCCTCCAGGAATAGGGATCGTCATGAAAATGAGATGTGAATCTTGTCAGGCTGCCTGGTGTGTATGAAATTGTAACTAGGTAAATCCTGGTACAAGGAATTTCGTTAGAACTGCTGAGTAATAATTGTAAAAGTTCTGGAAGTTGATTTTTCCTACTTTGATAGCAACTGTAATGGCTTAAAATTAATTTTAGCGTTGAAAAAAGAGGTAATGGCAGTACTTAAAAGCCTGAGGCAAATCAGTGGAAACACTTTGTAAAGGATAATTATACCTGCACGAGGAAGACTATCTCTTTAATAGCATTAACTGGTCCAATTAAGGAGACGTGGAGGAAAGGCCAATTTGTTATAATTATTCTCCGAAAAAGGTTTCAATATGCAAGCAGTAGAAATGGGTTTGGGTTTTGTAAGGCGAGTCCCCACATTTTAAACATTTTAAGTACTATTGTGGGGAACTTGTCTCTAGTTGTCCTTAAGTGCTTCATATCACAAACCTGCTGGGGGTTTTTGCCATCTAAACAAGAAGAGAGAGGATGGGTGCATTTATGTGGCAGGCGTTTGTTTCACATTGTGAACCTAATCTGGCCATAGTCCCAGTCTAAACATCCATAAAGAGATTATGCTTAATCGGGGGGGAGATGGGACAAGAAGAGGATTCTTTGTTGTTCCAAAACAGCAGCAGGTTTGTGCTATTTTACCACTGATAAGAGCTCAAGCAGGCTGCAGGCTGGCTGAATGCAGCGTAGGATCTGCTGCCACAAAGCTCTCCCTAGGGCTTGCAGGCTCTAACATAAATAGTGATGTGTGTGTCTTTAAGTATAGGTGTGGGAATGGACATGTGTGTACACACACACACCCCCCTGTCATTTGTAAACTAATGCAGGGATTTTATGTCACTGCATTCAAGAATACATACTTGCATGTTTAAGCAGGCATGGATTTTACCAAGGGGAATAGAGGGAACAGAGTTTAAGAGGGTTTTAATCCTTCCATGAATCCTTATCTTTCATTTCCTTGCTGTAGTGCTGGCATTGCTTCTGGCACTGCCCTCAGATCTTGAGTGGTTAAAAAAGTTTTACCTGTAAGTTAAAAGCAAAGGCCAAGACTTGCTTTGTGCAGTTGCACAAAGATAGTCGTGCTGTACAGAAAGGGCACTGCTATCCTCTTCAGAGTCGTAGCACAGAGATCGGATTTTTTTCTCTGCCAGGGGTTGTTTTGAGGTTTTTGAGGCAGCCCTTCATGAGCTGGCATTGCAGAACATAATTTATGCAACAGACAGCTCTACCATCGTTAAAGCAAGCATACCCTCTGTTACATAATCCAACATTAATAGCACAAACCCATGGATGGATGCATAAATATGTATAAATATGTATGTATTTATATCTACAGAGTATTAAAACAGCATTCCAAAACAAAACAGCCCCCTGAATACATTTCTGCCTGAGCAGAAACTGATACAAGATTGATGTTAATCACATCGTTCAGGGTACTGCTTGAAAGCTGTCAGCCAGTGCCACCACCACTATCACTGTGCTGGCTGTACCCACAGAACCCGCTGCAAAGAACATCAAGCCTACTTAAATGCAACCAGCAAACCTGTCATTAAAACAGGATGATGTAATCAGGAAAAGGATAACTAAAAATTTCAGAGTTAAAAATTTCTAACTTAGAAAAATAAAAAGCATTTTCATTCTGGAAAATTTAAAGCTGTCAATGACTTCATTTTCTCCTTTTCAGTAAGAGCATCAGCAGTGGGCAGAAAGTCAAAGAACCTGTACATCATAGACTGTTACAGTAAAATACTCGATCTACCATGTGAAAAGAAAATTAATATACAGCCTGAGAGGTGGTATGACTGGAGCAGCAGGAAAGAAATGAGTACTTAGCAAGAGCAATGGGTTGTTTGGTTTATTAAAGTCCAGATCCCACAGTAGCTTTACATAGCTTTATTCAAGTAGAATGATCTAGTCCAAAGAGAGCTCTGCACAGCAATTAATCTTCCCATTCTTTTGATTAATTGCAGACACATACCTTATCACTCCTATTAAATGACCATCGTGCGTTTCCAGTCCCCTAGCAGCATGTCATCTACTGGTGCTTGACGACTAGTAAGGAAATAACTGACCACAAAGCATCATTTTCAGGGGGCAGTCCTTTAATGATTCATAAAAATAAGAATGGCATCACATCAGCCTCTCTTCTCAATCTCAGCTTCTACAAAGAGAAACAAGAGCCAAAAAAATATGCTGAAACTGTTACCTGTTGAGATTGTTTCAACAATTAGTCACTTTTACCTCCCCTAATCAAAATTATGCCTACTTGTTTATATTATATTTTAATATAAAACATTATCATTCAACTTGAAAATATCTTTTTCTTATGACAGAAATGAGATGAGTGCAGTGATTTTAAAAGAATGTTGAAAGCCACAGTAGATCCCAAGAAAACTCTCCACATCTCAGGATCTTCTCTAATGGAAGGTCAGCACCATCCTCTGAAACATGCAGCTTTTATCAGCTCTGTGTAAGTTAAGAAAGTGGCTAAGGAATGTACTTGGAAAATTTTTTCTTATCCTACCTTTCTTGAGCACTGAGGGCTACTTGCCTCCAGATTTTTAATGTAATCCATATTATAAAAGCCTAATTGCAGAAGTGTGTGGAATTAGGCTAAGTTCTGAATTTTCCTAGGACTTGGGGAAAATTCAGCCTAGATATTAAATTCTCACTTCATCTTCTGTCAGTACTAATGTACACACTTGACTGAAGAACAACCAGCTTGGAGGTGTTGCTGTAAGGCACACAATAAATTATAGACCCTGCTCCAAAACTTTTTGAATGTGCTAATACTGCTGATGCAATTGCAAAAAAATCTTATTTTGGGGAAACATGATGCATCCACCCCATTCTATGTATCCAAAGCCCATTTTTTTTTCCAGCAGGGAAGTGAGTAAGAATGAGGTTAAATGGAAATGGTGTTTGTTTAGCCAAAAAATATTAAACACCACCACCACCACCCACCACCCCCCTCCAAACAACTCTCTTCCTCTTGGGTATAAACAAAGGCAGAAACAGAATCAAAGCATCTTCACTTTTTTTTCTTGGTATCCTATTCGTTCAGTAGAATCAGGGATGCATATTTAATAGTTTGCCCTAGAAGTAGTGCATTACTGACTGTTATTAGAATTACAAACTAGTGATGTTGAAACTAATTAACAGAAGAAAAGAGCTGACCCTGCTGCAGTGCCTAGGTGTAGGGGTCTCATTTGGAATGTAAGCAGATTAGACTGATGGGACTTCAGACATCTGTATGCAGCATGGAGAATATAACTGCCAACAATATTTAACAACTAGAATTATTTTCTCTAAAATGTCTTTCACGGTGGATATGACCTCCCAAACAAGGAATGCAGCAGATGAGTAAGTAGCGAAGAAGTCCAGTTCTAGTGTCTTGGCCAAATTCCAACTTCAGTAATTACACTCTACTCTTAAATTCCCCCTGCAGCCCTCCTAGAATAAAGCTCTTTTTCAGCTTGTCCTGAAGCATTGTGTAGTAGTTCTGTGAAGCTGTACAACACTGAAAAATATCTCCTCCCATTAAAATTGCAAGGGGAATTTAGGTAGACAGAAAGCTATTACCAGAGTTTGAATTTGGGCAGAACACCAAGGTTAGCGTACACTTGCACTGGGATCAAGGGATCTTTGCTGACTCGGAGTGTCAGACCCTTGTTAAAGAGCACAAGTGGGAATAGCTCACTGTGCTGCCTGAATACAAATTCAGAAACTTGGGATCTCCCCACCTGGAAGTGACTGCAGGAATGTTTCCTAACAAATGGCTCTGGATAAAAGCCTCTGGTGCTGTAGAATATCTTATCAAATCCTTATTTGGTTATTTAGTAATATTGATGAAATTATTTGTTGATAAAAAAGTTCCAGCGACTTTTAAAAAACCCCACAACCAACCAACCAACCCTACATTTTTAAAAAGTCTTTACCAACAGAAAAGCAGATACTTAACCCAATTATGCCAAGGCAAATATTTTAATGTCACTAAGTAGATATATCCAAGAACCACTCAGTATTTAAGCAAGCTAAGCCAGCCCTGCAGTACTAGTGAAACTATTCTACATTATGCTAAATATACAGCTGTAACAGTTTTCTTAGCCTCTAAATTGGGACTCATTTAAAATATTTAGGTAACTGACTCTCAAATTAGTTTATACCCCAAACAAAAATGTCATTCTTACTAAACTAGGATAACTTAGAACAATCACTGTACAAATTCCTGTAGAAAGGAAAAAAACCTCTCCACGTACACTGAGCCTGTTTGCTATTTATATTTTGTTTGTTTGTTTGGTGTTTTTTTTCCTTCCTGTTGCTTCCTTTCTTTTTCCAGATCAGGACAGTTGTAAGCTTGGTGCTCTTATTTCATCCATTTCTGTCATCTCGGTTTTCTTGCATTTTCTTGTCCGCAGCCACCTCAGAATAAGCAGCCCAGCGATGCCACAGCCAGCTGTCAGGGTCACCACTGTCAGCATAGTACTGACATCGGGAAGCAGTTGTCTCATGCAAAACACAGGTGGCTTTTCATCAACATAGTAAATCTGTAGTTCTTCAACATCCAGAGCATGTCCATTGACAGAGACAGGTAATGTACTGTTAGAATGAAATATCGAGTTGTTTTTTATATCTTTTTCAAAGTAATAGGCTACATCAGCTATATCTACATCACATCTTGATTTCTGTTTCTGGTTCAGGCGGATCTGGATAAAAGGGAAATTATACTTAATGGCTGCAATGTACTTGGAGCGCAGCTGGTATCGGCTCTCCAACACATGTTTGAGGGCATTTGCTATGTCGGAACCACTGAAGGTACTGGGCCTTTTTTTGTGCTTCAGTTCAATGTAGATCCAGCTTGTTCTAACCACTTCACCGCAGTTCAAGCTTTTGTCACCCTTTTCAGTTCTTCTTACTCCAGCAGTGTTCACGCACCAGCAGGTGTTGGTGTGATTGCACTGCCTGGCTTTGAACATACCACTGTCCTCACAGTCTGGATTGTAAATGCCATCGTTATCTAACAGCTCCCAGGGATGGCCCCAGAAGTGCTTCTCCTTCAGGAGCACCATTTCGGCCTGCATCAGCAAGCACTTCGAAGTCAGCGTTGAGCAGTTTACTTTGTGATTTGAACCTACCAGCGTGCAGGTGCAGTTCCCAGATCCACCCTGGGCACACACTGTCCACTTGTTGGTTGCACAGGTACAGTTGTTCAGCGCTGATGAAGCTCCCACCAGAATCAAAGCCAGGCAAAGCCTGAGCAGAAGCTCCATGTTGCAGGTGAAGAGTGTGGGTCAGGTCCCCAGTGACAGCAGGCAGGATCCGAAGCTTTAAATCATTCACCAAGTCTACTCCTTTCTACACACTGTTGTGCTGCTCCCTTGGTGGAGATTCAAATCGGACCCACCAAACAGGTTCTCCTTCCCAAACAACTGGCATCCCCTGCCCAAATCCTAGAGAAGGAAACACGCTGAAGCTTCATCTGTTACCAGCCTGGGAGTGGCACCGCTGCCTGCCTCCAGCTGCCCACCAGCCCTCCTGCCTGAGGAGGCTACAACAGGGAAGAGACAAAAGCCAACCTGCAGCATAGCTCCCACCTTGGGCTTCCCCGATGCATTAAAGCATCAGCAGCTTGCCCTTGTCCTTCTTTAGACTTTTTATAGACTATGTAAATGCACATATAAGGAATTTCTCCTAATTCTGTCAGAAGAAATCTTACTTCCAATCCACTTCCATCATGGTTTTTCCTGCATCACACACTTTCAGTACCATTCCTCGGCCTAGCTTCTTATCAGCCATGGACTTCCTCTTTTCTACTTTCATGTATTTATAAAATAAAGCCTTTTGGAGCTTTATGTACACAGCCTGGAGTAGCTGCCAATTCAGGAGGAATGACTGTTCATCAGTGTGACGGTTGCTTTCCTACTTACAGGGCCCAGGAGCGCAGTCGCACTTCCAGCACAGAAAGCCTCTCTCCCCGCTTTCCTTTGGCACACGCTCATCCCAAGGCAGTACTAGGAATGATGATTTTCATGCTTGCATTACCCTTACAAAGTTGTTAGCCGTTTCTGAAGAAATTTTTCAATCTGAACTTTGAGTAATGCCTTTCACAGTACACTCCAGTAGCTCCCAAGTGTCCTAATGATCTACAAAGCATGAGTTACCGTTTCCACGTGCTTTGGCAGCAGCTGAAAGATATTTTCCAGTTTGCATTAAGCAAGTCCCATTCATCTGATTTGTCAAACACTGTCAGACACTTTATAAATCATTATTTTGGGACCAGTAACGACCACAGAAGAGTGTATAGGCCATTCTCCGTTCCAGGCAACTTGTACCCTGCCTTGCAGTTGGCTCCTTTACCTGTGCTGCTGCTTTCCTGAGGGCCTGCCCTGCTTCAGGTCAGTGCAAGCTGGGCTACGTGTGGTGTGGGACATGACCCTGCCTGCCAGGGAGTATTTGTAACACAGTCTAGGTTTAAAACTAAGAGCTCCAGGTCTAAATACCCTCTGCCATGAGAGAATGGCACAGTCTGGATTTGGACTTTGCAGCTCGACCTGTCTCTAAATAAGCCACAGAAACACATGCTACTTGAGGGAGCAAAGATGAGACAAGTTCTTTAAATTAATCCTGGCTGCTTTATAGCACATTATCAACCTCTCTGCATTTCCCCTTCCTTCCAATAAAGCTAATAGTAGTTACCTTTCTTAGAAAATAATTGAGATCTATAGCCAAAATTATTATTAAAATTGCTAGGTATTTCAAGTTGTCACATTCATGATTCTTTGATAATAGTTTAGTAACTCTTTTCCCATTTTTAATTTCTAAATCATTTGCCTCTAATAATATTTTTTTTTTAAATTTCACATCTCTCCATCCAAGTCAAAATCCATTTAGCTGTCACCTACATGCTCATATCTTGTCTTTACTTTAGTTCACATTATGAGCTTTAGAGAGAGTAGGTTTTATCTTTTCTCTAGAGGACAGAGCCTCAACTGCTGTAAACTTACAGCTCCCATCTGGCTTCAGGGAAGCGATTGCAATTTCTCTACATCCAAGAGCTGTGCTGCCTGTGTGCTGAGAAAGCCCCACATGGACAGGCAGTAACAGGACTTTTTAGTAAATAGTCCATTGCCTGTGTGATGTTTACAGCTGTTCAGGCTTGGTCTCAGCCTCTTATTATCATTTGACAGTTTCTCCTTCTTACAGACACTTGCAGTGAAGTAGAGAAAAAGGGGTTTGTCAAAATTAATATATGGAAGAAAACCCATAGGTAACTAAAGGAGATTTTCCTACTGGTGTAAAGGAGATTCTCAGTGCTGTTACCTTAATTAAAAGTTACCTTTGTTGTCTCTTCCCTCAAAGGCAGGCAGAAGCACAGTGAATTTTAAAACACACCCATTACCAAGCAAAAAGTGTAGAACAGTGACCAGAGAAGGGCAAAGGAGGAATAATTTTAAGTTTCCCTGACAGAGCTGCATAAATTGTCAAATTAAAAGTGCACATTTCTATTGATTTTTTTTGTACTGGTGGATTTTCCCCTCTGGGAGAGCAGATTTATTTTAATGACGAAAGTAATTCTAAATATGTTTCTCTATATAATACCTGCCTCTGACACTAAAAAATCAGAAGTATTATTTCCTTTAATCCATACTAAGCTGTAATGGCACTACAAGAGTTAATTATTTAGAACAGCAGGCTGTAAAAGAAATAATCCTGTAGGAAATGGGGAGTGCATTATTTCTTTGGTGATCTCCGCTTCCATGGAAACAATTTCTCGGCACAATTCTAAATCTCATAAAAATAGGGCACTAGGTCTATGTAAAACAGCAAGCCATTTCCAATTAAACAACCAGAATGCTTTTATCTAGGCCATTAAATACTTTGTTCAGTATCAAATATGATTACAATGTTCACTGGGATGTTAACAACCAGCTACTTCCCCCGCGCGGGCTCTGTGGG